GTGTGATACTATTAAATGACAGAGACTGTGCTACTTCACATTGTAAAGTTAAGGCTACTTGACGAAGACTTGTGCAAACGTTTGCGTGGTGTGGTCTCTTATACAGCACCTAGCTGCCCCCAGAACACTATGAGTCAAACTGTTGCCTTGCCAGATCATCTTCAAGAGCTCTTCACAATCTCCCGTGTGATGCTCACTATGCAAAAGCACTGTTTAAAATGCAGGCCACATGGGTGCAGCACAATTAAAATTCAATGCAAATTGCACGGGGATATAGACCAGTTTCTGGCACATGTCCAATGCAAGGCTTCAAAGGTGGACGTGTTGGTGTTCCATATTCTACCGGTTAGGTCAAAATGTCCTCAATACCTTCAGGAATTAGTGGGCAGCAGCCAGCAGTTGTATATCATCGGAGGCACAGTAAGAGCCAGCAAAAGTGGTAGCATTTAATGTTGTGAAATGCTTCCATGGATCGCCCTCGGTAGCGCCACAGATCATGTTGCTACTCACGTTGACGCGTTGTCTTAGCAACACTGTGTATTTAGATAGCACGGTAAGAATGTATCCAGAATCCTTTGCACCTCCATCCAGATTGAAATAAACCACAATGCAGCAGTTAAAGGCATCTTGAGTCTACATTGCTGTGGTGCTTCACACGAATGAAGATGCAGTTTAATTTGAATTGGCAAGTGCTTCAATAAATTGCTTTGAATGATAAGTGGCAGAAGCGCTTGGCAGGACCAGAATGTGTGCCGGTGGCTACATTACCGTGAGCACCTGCACATTTCAGTAGCACATTGATCGGCAAAAATTAAAGGAAATGTACGTACGATCAATAATATCAGTGTGCATTCAGCTTATGACGTGCTAACGGAGTTTGGAAGACGCCCAACGACCAATCTCCAAACCAATGCACATTGATTGAAATAAAGTCAATTTCCCGTTTGAATAAATGGTAAGTGAAATCTCGTCTGCGTTGAACAAGATCCAGTACCAGAGTCCAGGTTTTCGAAATGCCGAATCAAATGTGTGTGGGCGACATTTGGTTGATGGATTCAAAGCAATGAAGACGGAGTGATATGTTGAAAGATAAAGCGCGTTTACAGAAATGTCTAGCAGTTTAGTAATAAGGTTGCCTAAGTTAATTTCGACATCCCCAAATATCGTTAATCACAGCACCGACCTAGTACGTCCATGGACACCAGGCTTGCAGCATTTTTGTTGAACCGACATCGTCTAATGCCCACTGCACTCGTGAAAGATTCGGAGTGCTTCCCAGTCGGTAGACGTAACTCTGCATAATTACCTTTGAAATTAACAAATAGTTGTTGCGGAATGTCGATGATTAATTTAAGTCAATTGCGATCCAAGCGAGGGAGTTAGACGAGCAGTCAGAAAGCTTTCGTTAGATTTTTAATTTCAACAAGCCTACATTAAGGTATCATCGCATATTTGACGAATTGATGATTGTTTGAATATTTTTTTGAATACGCAGCCAGACGACATGGCCACTCTTCAATCCTTTGCGTTTTACATATTTTCAAATCGAAAATTGTTGTTCCAGTGAATAAACATAAGCACAAGTTAGTTGTAACTACGCGGAAATGGTAGTTTTGCCATCACGTCGCACACACAAAGCATTCACATCCTAACATATTTTCAGGGACAGTCGATGTGACCACGTCTATTTTGACATGGTGCTCCTTGCGAGGACAACAATATCGTGAAAGCTAATTGATCATCGTGCCTCACCTAAGTTGGCCGACATAATTTCGGTGGTGAGTGGACAAATATAACTGTTGCGAAGTCATTTTACTTTTACACAAAAGGTTAATACTTGCCGTTGAAATCACGATAGCCGGCTGCTGACAATGACAGTAGAATGCGGAATGTGTACTAACAGATTTGTAAAAAAAAACTTGAAGGTATTAGGAGCATGCGTATTTAACCAATCCGATTGGCGAAAAAAGAAGGAATGCGTCACTGTGCCAACCACCACTTATTCATACTTCAGTGCTTAATAAAGCTTGTTTTGCCCCAACCAATGACATCAGACGCGCTTCTCAATAAATTCAGACACCTCCGTTGGAGACATATTCACCTGAACACCACAATGCTACAGAGTAAAACAATATGCGCGATCGGCACTTTGGTTGCTCTTCTGCTATTGCGTAACGTCATTTCGCGAAATATGTTCAAGATGATATCGGTTTTGCGACCAGTGAACCCCCAGAATAGAACACCAAGCACACACTGCAAATGGCCTCCAAGTAAACCTGAAGACATCAAGTCGGTGGATCGTGGATACGATGTAACTTTGTGTGTGCGACCGGATGTCACAGTGACGAGAACCAGGACGCCAAAATTGTATCCTCTTAAAGACCTCTTTCACAATGTAAACGATTTAACCAACGTTTCATATGATTATCTTGCAGTGTTGCCCCGAAGCTTTTGGAAGCAGGTGAAGTATCCAGAAGTGTATCGCACATACCCACAAGATGTTCCAATGAAGCAAATTGTCAAGGACATCAAAGCAGGTCTTCCTGTCTCCCATGTAGGCTGACACGTTTGTTTTGTCCATCTCTGTTTCCTCCAACTTGTCTTCATTGCTACAAGCTTCCACTTTGTAATACGCTCAACAGAATCGCAGAAGAGCATTAAAGTGTTCAACACAGTGTCTGGTCTCCTGACAGTCAGCACCTGATTTATTAGGTATCTTTGATTGTGCATCTAAGACAGGCAGCCATGAAACCGAAGACTAAGTCAAGCCACGTAAAGAACGCAGTCATTCAACCACGACACGTAATTTGCCTTACACAACTGAATTGCAGTTCAGCCATCCAATGTCGACCAGCGCTGACAAAACTAGTAGCTAAATCATTTTACTCATGTCTGGCCTTCACAAGATGCATTCCAGCAATCAGTGAGTCAGACGAGTCGTCGTTAGCACAGTTCAACGACACAGGCTAGACATACATGAAGTATGCAAAGTAACTAACACGAAAAGACACGTAATCGTAGCATTTGATATTGCAGATGCCTCAGTACAATTTTCCCATCCACATTCTGCGTACCAGCAAGTCAGTCTGTGCAAACCACACGAAACACGACCTCGTCGTCGTGGTGAAGAGTGGCAACCTCGGGTGGGACGCCAGAGCGTCATTTCGCGCCTTCATGAAACGCCAGAGAGCCAGTTATCCGAGGCTCAAGGTGGGAGTGGTCTTCAGTCTGGGAATGCCACGCAAACACGGTGGCAGAATATTCGATCGTGATGGCAATACCGTTAGACTGGAGGGATTCCCTGGTGACAGGATGGAGGAATATGACGGTAAAGCCAAGCTAGTTATGGAGCGCATTACTCAGGAAATTGATCAATTCGATGACATACTGCTAGGCGACTACGAAGACACGTATTTCAATTTGACGTGGAAGACTGTCACGAACCTGCGATGGCTGTCAGCATTCTGCAACAAACACCAGGCTGACGCCTTCTTGATAATCGACGACGATCATCGCATGAATCTGTCGTTGGTAACAGATTTCCTCAGTAGTACTTCTACTGCGGCATTGAGGAAGTCCATTTTCGGATATATCGCCGTAAATGATGTCCCAGCTAGGGAGCCCTCAATTAAGTGGTTCCAGTCATACCGCGAATGTCCGTGGGACTCAATGACCCCGTATCCACGTGGCTTTTCCCAATTCATTGGAGCTGACATCGTCGACGACATGGCCATTGCGGCTGCATACACGAGGTACAATTATGCTCCGGAGGATGTGTTTCTCGGAATGCTGGCATTTAAACTGGGCATAGATCTGCGCAACGAAGAGTCAATGTATAACCACCAGCTATTCGACGTCACGCGACTTAAGGACCGCCCTCCCATGGTCGCGTTGAGCAAATTTTTTGAAGGAAATCCCTCCTCCACATGATACCCTTTGTGCATTCTGCACAGATTATCTTGAAATGCATCTTAAGCAGCTCCGCCTAACCCAACGATGTGGCATGAGTTGTTTTTAAATTTGTAACCTTCTTTTGGTGTATAAGTGGCACATTCCTAAAAATGACTTCTGCAATCTAACAATTCGTGTACTTCTTCGAAGCAAATTATTGCGCTAGATTGGATTCCGTTTCTGTCGTACATATTCAGGTAAAGCAGTGATTCGTTACGTCACACATGGCAACAGACATTGAGGATGTAATAATGGGATCACTTTTTACCAATTCGATGTCAGCTGAATAAATTTAGGCCTGAACCAATTAAGGGTCAAGAGTGTTGAGGGCCCCGGCATGTTGTCTTGAACCATGCCGGGGCCAATGCGATTATCTCGGCCCAATGCGTTACCCTGCGTTCCCGCGAAAATATAGAAGACCGGAGTGGGGAAGACACAACCGTTTACTAGACCGCTCAACCAATTTGTGTCGTGTACAATTGAGTGACATGTAAATATGAACACAGGCGTTTGTGAGGTCACATGACCAATGCGGGAAGTGGTGGTGGTGGTGATGGTACATTCAGCGGGGTGATGAACCAGCGGTCTCACGTGACAAGGGGGGAGGTGCGCTGAAAGCTGCGAGGACAGGGTTATTGGACGTGAATCAACACGATTCACTACAAGAGTATGCGCCATGAGGGAAGACTAGGTGACCGGTTTATGGTAAATAAGTGCGGCAAAAGTGGAGGTATGGCTGATTGCTTATGAGGATGGTGACTGCAACTGAATCAGTTTGGTCAGCCGAAATCCTGTCTTGAAGTCCGGATAGCATTTAGAGTAATTAACTAAAGTTCTTTAGCCGAGTAGGAGAATCTCTCGTGTTGCAATCCTACCTGACACCTTCAGGTTGTTCACGGGCTGCTTGACCACTGTCCTTAATTGTGCAGCCATGTTTTATGCATTTTATCTACCACTGACTAAGACATACAGAACTGCAATGAGCCCATGCTTGACTAATTTGATGTCCAGTGGCATGAATGTACGCTTGAACCAATAATAGGCAGGCTATTTACCCGCGAATTGGGTTCAGAGGAACTGCAGAGGCACCGCGACACAACCCTCCCTAGGTACTCACTTGACTACATATTCGACGGAACCGTTCGAAATCTCAAGTGGATGTTTGAGAAACACTTCTTCTTGTTTGGTACCGGGTGTAGGCGACTTGAAACCTTAATAAGAGAGCTTGACGTCAATCGAGAGTGTGAGAGGATTCATCTCAAATCAACGACGAATGACCAAGAAAAACCAATCGTGCTTATTTGCAACCCTAAAATTTTAAAGGAATGCAAATCGCCAAACACAGTTGCCATATGTTCTCTAGCGGAGTCTCGCCGTGAGTCGGGGTAATATCAGCAACGAAAGCATTCACTGAAGCATCGTGCCACCCGAAACTAAAATGATCGAATCTTGGGACCACAGTGATTCTGCGGTCAATGCGATCCAGGGCATCACAAAAGCCCCTCCCACTTATGGTCGGACATCAGCAAAACCTGCACAAGTCACCGAAGAAGAGGAATATGACGCCACTTCTCCTTTAGCCTCCTGGCACTGTAAGAACTGGAATTTTGTCAGGTCCAGTTTAACACTTTCTAGGACAATTCAGGTCAGCACACAGTGAATGCATCCGTCTACACCGGATTCAGACATTACCACCATCTCGGAAAAAATAATGGCGCTTCCTCGGTCAGCCATCAGTGAGTCAATTTCTGCAATCATCTATAGCTGTGAATTAAAGCTTTGGAAAGGGGTGATTGCATCAACATACGCCTGAAGAGATTTAGTCAGAATTTGGCATAGAGCAGATTCAAAACCCTGCTATCCAAAACATGGAGGCGCATATGCTGAAGGGGTTGAGGAGTAGACCGCTCGAGCAAAAGCAATGGCCTTTCAAAAGTTGGTCGAATATCATCCACTGGCAATTATAGATGCCGTTGACACTCATTCACGCGCGCTCACATTAAACGACTTGAGTAGTCTGATGAAGTGAGGTGGTTGTTTCGGTGTCAGCGTGGTCAGTGCGTTCAAGTGAAGAATATGCTCGTGGCGTCAGTGTAAAATTCTGACGCAATGAGGTAGCACAAAACGAACTGCTATTTAACTGACGCACAAATTTGCTTTGCGAACTCAACTTTGCTGTCACGAGTCGTGTAAGCGAAGGTGGGCAAATTGTGCGTTCGCTTGAATTGGAGTTTTCAGCAATAGTGCATGCTTAACGCACCATGGTCACTAGCTCCCTGAGTTTGTTGTGCACACATCACCAAGATTGAGTCCTTGATAAGCAAAGTAATTGCAGACAACCGAATGCGCAAGCTTGTATAATCTAGTGGCAGATTCGTGATGTCGACATGACATTGAATTTGTTCGCAGTCCACCGGTACACAATCCCCCCTCTAATGTCAGCGTCATCTCCAGACCATTTAGATGGCGAAGACGAGTTGTCCTTTTGCCCACACATCGGCGAGACGTAATGAGGTAAACGACTTATCAATTTAAGTCCGCCTAACCTATCAGCATATGAACAAATTTCATTTTCCACTCATAAGCCGACGTGAAGAGGCTTAGTTCCGTCGCTGCACTTAGTCTCCGCATTAAGCCCACGTGAATATGCAGCGTCAGTTTTAACGATAGCCTTGTTCTTGGTAAGGGCTCACGGACAAACAGACGTGGCCACGATGACAGTGGATGATTGATATGTAGGATCTAACAGAACAGTCGCCTGTACTGTGCAGCTCTAATTAGGTTGTGCCCATGCAAACTCAGCAGCCTGACTATTTTTGATTTGACAAGCTGAAAAACGAATCGAACCGAATGGTAGTTGTGTGGTCCAGCTCTGCCATCTCCAAAGTATCCCTCCAAGCGTTATTTCTGCTGACGTAATGTAGGACTCATTGAGTCTCAAAATCTTAGCGAAGATTCCTAATACTCGTTGGACTCTCTCACTCATTGCCTAAACTACAAATGATTACGCTTGGTCGTGAATCGGCCTGGTGCATTTCTGCACTTATGAATTGCTCATCGCAAACATAGGTGTGCAGGCCAAAGTCAATCGTGTAGAGAGCACCATGCAAAGCACCTACCCTTTCTCGAGCACAGTGGGCTGTTGTAAATGTCAGTTCAATGGCGATGCGACAAGTCTGATCTCCAGCGAGCGTTTAGAACCTACACAAAACGACATGGGTATTAATAGTGCAATCGCAGGTCTGACATTCATCATCAACCTCAATCGGCACGCATAACAGAGACAAATGGGGTTGAGTAGATGACTCCTCAAATTAGGACAGAGCATGACCTCTTTCGGATTGCCTTGATTGTCTCAGTCATAGACCCAGTGCGCGTCCAAAGGAGGGCGACCTAGAGTGAAATTCACATGCATGAGAAGCTAAAAGTTGAAGTTACTCATTAAGAGGAGGTGGTAGCTAAAAGGTATAACGAAGTTGCCACCTACCTGAAAGTGATGGCCAGCGTGATTCTGAATCCCTAATAATCCACAAGCCGATAATTTTAAGTAAAATAAGTAACAGTAGCAGCGCAGCTTTCCAGTCATGTCTAGACCGTAAAAAATGTTAACTTCATCAATCATTCGTCGCCAATATCCCTTCACTTTCTTTCCATTGGCCACCACTGCCGACATTCCCAAACTGCTTTAGCATGCTGCCGACCCCACTGGCACTTGCTGTGCTGGGTAATGTGTTTGCTAACCACAAGATGGCAGACTGACTTCGAACGATTCACCAAAATAGCATTATTCATTCAGCAACGAGTACGCCATTTTGTTCATTGAACAGCTCACTACTTTATTGTTCATTCTTCATTTCGCATAGTAGCACAGCACGTACAGTGCGCAGCGCAATCCGGGTAAAACTAGCACTTATTCCATTAAAGAATGATCCAGTTCCACTCAAACCAGTTGCATGTAAACATAAAGGTGAAGACTTGCAACATTCGACATAAAGTCGTTGTGTGGCACACGGTATGTTATATACATTGAAGTACAAATAATCACTGGGTGTGCGTAAACAAGTGTCACACGAAATCGCATTGAGGACCAGACGAATCTAGTGTGGTTATGAGTTATGGCAGAGCTGGCAAACCCTCACCAGGCTTATTGGTGCTGCGGCCCGATCCAAAACCAAGTGTCTAAGAGTACCACGGTTGATGAAGACTAAACTGACGACTGGACAACAGAATTTGGCAGTGGACAGGCGTGGCTGCTTCCACGGTGATATAGGTCCAGTGGGCGTTCGACGTGGAACCTGAGACATGGTGTTGTGGTGAAGGGTTGAGATTTGTGCGATCGGTGACAGGTTAGGAGAACTGGCATTGATGAGTCATTTTACGAACTTACCACACGCCTACATGTAAGGCATTCAACCGTGGTCACTAAATATAGGGTTGCGTAGCACCACATTATAACCGCGTCATGTACCAGCCCTTCACAACCAGAGAATGGATCAAGACAGGCGCTAGCGAATTCGACCATTTATTTGCGCACAGTGCAGCCATGTGAAACCTCGTGCCTCGTGTGTTGGTGGGTGGGGGAGATAATCAGCTGTTTGTGGGTACCAGCCAATCAGAGGAACTAGTGCGTCATCAATGTCAATCATCCGGCAGTAAACGTGTATGGGCAAGCGTGCTTACTATTCATTCGCGTCTGGAGACCAACCACTGCAACCATGCTAATAACAGATTAGGGATATGCGAAATTCCCACACCACAAACTCGAGGTGGACTTGTTTAGAGATGGTATGGAATTGGAGGAGTGGAGTTGTCAATTCTGTCATTGGTGTCTTCGACACTGGCAGGAAGCAGCATGGGCTGAGCAGACGTCAAGGTAAACATTTGCTGATGCAGTTTACACGTCGGCTTGTTCATAGATGTGAGGAGTTTGAGCGGGGTTGTGAGAAAGCGTGTGCGTGAATGCTCAGTGAAGACGCGGTGGGATGCTAGCTCGACTTCAGCGTTAAGCAGTTGGTGTATTCAATGCATCAGTGGTAATGCTCACTGACGCACAGATGGTTGTCAACTGTTTGTAACACCGTAAAAAGCGATGTCATTAGTATTTTCGAAATCGCCTACAATCTTCGAAGCCGCCTGTAGGTCTGATACCGAAGATTGCAATACCGTTCCCATTCCCAATTCCCCGTCATCTTGTGAGTGTGACGCGGACAAAGTGCGTTCATTCGGCACGACCACGTCAATTGTGCCCACTCGTGTATCAGCTCACAAGTAGGCGGTTTCGGCAATTAAATGCTTGGAAGCATTTCCTTGATCTCACACAACGTTCACGTGACAATGGACCAGAATGGAATCAGTGACATGTGACCCGCAATGACCCAATGCCAAACTGATGCTCTTCTTCTTCTTCTATTTTTGCCACATTTTTATTCAACAAGCTGGGAAACGAATTGGGCCGAATGTAGTTGTGTGGTCCAGCTCAACATTGTGCATAGATGGTTGCTGGTTAGACGAAACCCCACATTGTGCACGGATGTGAGCCTGACGCGGAATCGATTACCGATTTTACTGGTTGGTCGAAACACGACTGGATGTCAATTTATTGATCAATTACGGTGGCATTTGTCACGAAATTAAGCCTATTACTTATAACCCATGCAGCAAGATGACTTCAGCCACAAAATGTGCACGTTCATTTCGTCAACACATCGTTTACTTGTTAGCGGTGCTAACTGTACATTGACACGAACACACTCTGGCATGGATTCACTAAAGCTTGCGTTTATAAATGCAGTACTTCACGTTCATTAATGCGGTCGTCGCATATTCAGACTAGCCACCGTCCCCGATTCACGGTTCCCCATCGGACACGCGGAGGCGTCTGTTCAAGCATTCATGTGCACGTACCTCGCTCAACCCTCATTCCACCTATCTGGCATCTTCTACCTATCTGGACATCGAGCACGTTCACGCAGACTGGAGAAGAGGCTGATTCCATGAAGCTGGCATCGTCCGGAGTTGATTGGGGCCGAGGAGGAAAGCTCGTTCACCAAGGTGAATATTGAGTAGTGAAGCCAGGCTGAACGAGACTTGGCGCACAGATGGTTGTCAATTGTTTGCCACACCGGTAAAAGCGATGTCTTCGCTCTTTTCACGTTCGCCTACATTCTTCGACGTTGGCTGTAGGTCCGATGCCCGAGGCTCCAATACCCTTCCCATTGCCAATTTCTCGTCATCTCGTGCGTGTCACACAGGGAAAAGTGCGCTTATTCAACACGACCACGTCAATTGTGCGCACTCGTGTTTCAGCTCACAGGTGGGCGGTTTTGGCAATAAAGTGCTTAAAAGAAACCTACGAAATGATTGTTCCCATGTTCTCGATTTCATACAACGTTCACGGGACAATAAAGCCGAATGGAATTACTGACGCACGACCCGCAATGCCGCGGTGCCACACCAGTTTCCTTCGTTTTCCTAAGTCTTTCCTCATTTTTTGGCATTTAATGGACAAAGTTCGGAGCTGATGGTGTCGACGACGTTGCGACCTCTACCGCATACACGCCATGTGAATGGCCATTGGTGGAATGTCGTCGCGGCATCGCCATCCACAATGTGGCCACCCAATGTGGCCAGGTGGAATGTGGGCGTGCATCGATTATATGTGATTCGGAATTCCACCTACTCCCACGAACCGTCAACAACAATTAACTACGTGGTTAGCCCAACAAGCAGCCGCCTCCACCAGGTCTCAGATCAGTCATGGGGTTTTTGGAATAAAGCTTTTTTTCCCTTTTACTGGAATTAAAGTGAAACCATGAGCTGTTTTTGCCAAGCCGTGTTATAATTGGATCCCCGTTCATTCACGCTCACCAATTTGTGGATTCATTTCTCATCGGTAGGATTCCTGTTCAACAAACACTAATCGTAATAAAAGTTGCACAAACCTCAAGACATCGTTACCAGAAACTTGCAATTACTTTGCTCAGCAAGGCCGCATACTTGGTGCTGTGTTTGCAACCAGCTTTCATCCTTAAGGCCTAAGATGCTTTGAAAATGTATTATTGAGCAAAAACCCAATTTGTCCACATCCGCTTACACGATCTTGAAAGCAATGTTGAGTTTACATACAATTTTGTGCGTCGGTTAAACAGCCACTCATTTCGTGCAACCTCATTGTGTCGGAATTCACACCAACGGCACAATTATATTCTTCATTTTTACGAACTGACAACGCTGACACAGACAAGGGGGCTAAAGTATTCGTTACGCCTACCGCTACCATTTATCTTGCAAGTCATACGGTGTATCTCTAGGGTAATTAAGCAAAATCCAACAGCCAAAATTTTAACTAACCACTTGCAAATAAAAAGAAACCTCGTGAGCCCTTTGTGCATCAACTGCCAGCGCGAGTCAATGGCCGTGGACCGGCCACCAAATAGACTAACTCCATAATTCCCAAGATACAACCTCGACATCAGACTATGTCAGATGTGACTTGAGTCATGACTCTGCCGATCGGCAGAATGCATTTTGGGTAATGAGTAGTTGACTACTTAGTCTCGTTCAAAGACAGACTAACAAGAGGCAGACTAAGTCTTGTCGATTTGAGCCCGATGAGGATACGATTCTTGCCTTCCTGATTAGAAGAAGCGCCACTGGAAGTGGAGTTATCTTCAGTTACAGTGGCATGTATCGCGAACATAGAGCTTGTACTTGTAACCGGTACAAATTGAAAGACTGCTGGCACAAAATGTGCAACAGTGTTTCATCGACACATTGATTACTTGTTCGTCGTGCTAACTGCACATTGACACGGATATACTCTGGCATCAAGTCGCACAAACCTCGTAAAGATAATTGTGGTGCTCAGACTGGCAGCTGTTACCGTTAATATCAGTGTATAGGATTAGCGTTATTTTTGTGGCATTTAAATCATTTCAGTGCAATAAAATAGGATAAGGTAACGCACATTTCATGTAGCAATTTTGACATTTCGTCTAACTTTATTTCGTTTAAGATTTGGATCATCTTTATTTACATACGATGAACACAACAAAATGAAAACCTGAAGCGATCAGTTGCTTCCCACATGTGACATTTATTGACAGCAGAGGCACAATCTGCACCCTCCCACTCGTAAATTCTTCTTCGCTTACGCTTTTACGAAATTTTTAACCAATAGACTTCGACGAGCACCTAAATAAATCCCAGCGTCATCGAAGGTGCAAATCACTCTACGCATTGAAGATGAAACGAAAAATAACAATTACCTTCAAGATTTCCGTACTGTTAATCTGTCTTTCTTTATTTAATTTTACTGTGCAGTTATGGAGGCTAAACAAAGATCTCGGTGGATTTAGTGACAAGCCGCAAGAATCATGTGCTGACAAAATCTGCCGATGGCCTCCGCAAAGGGTTGATGACATTCAGTTTGTGAGCGGCTACAACATAACCCTTTGCATTCGACCAGATGAGAAGCAGCTGATGACTAGGGGACAGAAGACTTACCCCCTCACTCATCTGTTTCAGGTTTCGCGAACCATTCAAGAGGTTTCATTCGAGGATCTTGCAGCGCTGCCTCGTACGTTATGGAAAAGGGTGAAGTATCCTGAGGTGTATCGCACGTATCCACAAGACGTTTCAATGAATCAAATTGTCAAGGCCGTGAAAGCGGGTCTTGCCGTCACTGACGTAAGACTGCACTTTTATTTGAAAAATCGTATCTGTCACATAATGCGGAAAATGATTAGTTTTCAGGCAAACGATAAGATTAATTTGCTGTGGATATATCTAGTTATTTTTATTCATTTGCCAGATGCCACAGTACAATTTCCCCATCCACATTCTGCAAACCAGCACGACAGTCTGTTCGCGTAACACAATACACGACCTTGTCATTGTCGTGAAAAGCGCAATTCTCGGATGGGACGCCAGAATGGCATTTCGCGCCTTCATGCAACGCGAAAGAA